AGGAGCAGCAGGGACGCCGTTTCAAGCGTAGAACTCCTCTTTCAGCAGCAGCAGCAGCAGCAGCAGAAGCTGCAGCAGAAGCAGCAGCAGAAGCAGCAGCTGAGGCTCTTATAAACCTGCATAACCACAATGTTATGTGGATGATATTCGTTACTTGTAGTGTTCTATGGCCTTTCAGATGCAGGCATTGAGCTGCTGCTGCTGCTGCTGCTGCTGCTTGAGCAGCAGCAGCAGCAGCAGCAGTGGTAGCAGCAGCAGCAGCAGCAGCAGCAGAAGCTGCTGTTGAAGCAGATGATGATGGTTTATGTGGATGATATTCGTCACTTGTGCAGACACTAACCACCTGCTGCTGCTGCTGCAGCAGTTGCTGCGGCAGCAGCAGCTGCTGCAACCGCAGCAGCAGCAACAACTATAGCAGCAGCAGCAGCAGCAGCAGCAGCAGCTGGTGTGGATGCTGCTGCTGCATGGGGTTTATCTCCGCCGCCTGCTGCCTTCTATGGGCATCCAAATGCAGACACTCAAGTGCTGCTGCTGCTGCAGCAGCAGCAGCAGAAGCAGCAGCAGAAGCATCAGCAGGAGAAGCAGCAGTGGCAGCAATTGCAGCAGCAGGTGCTGCTGCTGCTGAATCTGCTGCTGCCGCTGCATGTTTGGGTTCATTACCTGCAGCTTTTGGTGGCATTCCAAGTGCATGCATTAAGCAGCAGCAGCAGCAGCAGCAGCTGTGCTGCAGCAGCAGCAGCAGCAGCAGCAGCTGTGCTGCAGAAGCAGCAGCAGCAGCAGCAGCAGCAGCAGCAGCAGCAGCAGCAGCAGCCGTGCTGCAGCAGCAGCAGGGTAGAGGCTGTAAGGAGCAGACGTAGGAGTAACGAAGAAGCAAAGAAGAAACAACAAAAAGCAAGAAACAAAAATAAAAATAAAAAATAAAAAAATAAAAAAATAAAAATAAAAAAATAAAAATAAATTAGTTGGGGTGTATGTGCAGCTCAACTGCTTCAGGGAGCTGCCTATACACCCCAACAGAGCCACCGCGTATATATAAATACATTTATATATATATATATATATATATATATATATATATATA